GCCTCACCGCCAACCAACTCTTTGATGCCGCCACCGCCTACCTCGGCTCCCGGATTTCCCCTCCACGCGGAGGATCAAAATCAACAAACTCGAGAAGGACGACGATTTGGTCGTCACCATCGATAAAAAACACGAAGTCATTGATTTCCACAATGGGATCAAATTTTGGTGGGTACTTCAGTCGTTAGCCATCTCCAATAGAGCGTCGGACGGTAAGAAGAGCTCGAAATCTCAAACCGAACTCTGTTTTTTCGAGCTGGGCTTCAATAAGAAGCACAAGGACTGTTTTGAAGGTCTTCCTGTGGGATCTATATCTGGTTGTTGAAAAAATACATTCATAGTAATTTTGATTAAGAAAATAAATGATTTGACTTATTATTAGTGGAAATTTCGATAAAATATATGTGAATCTTTAGTAACAAATCTGAATCTTACATTTTTGTAATAATTTGAAGATTCTAATGCCAAAGTTGAATCGCATTTTTATATATCATTTTTTATTTTATTTTCTTACAAAAATCTGAAACCCATTTTTTAACAAATTTGGAGATTCATATGCTAAAAATTGTCAGTTATTTATGAAAACAAATCTAAATACAAATTACTTTAAAAACAGTGCAAAGTGGATACAAATTTAGGAAACAAATATTTGTATAATTCTTAACCAATCCCCCCTGTATATTATTACAGAACGCGCTGAGCCTACGTGGCTGCTTCTGGTGCTTCGAAATCCTATGTGGCAAAATTACATGTTTCGTTATTAGGCTTGGGTAAATTTTAATTTAATTCCAAACCAAAAATAATTAGGTTCGGATTACCATAAATATGTTAATTATTTATGGTCATGTTACATGTATTAATTGTATTTTAATATCATTCCTTATTATAACTATTGAATTGTATATATATTTTAAAAGTTAGTAACTTTTGTATTTTTTATCAGTTTTACAAATATAATATGTCAAATTAATCTTCTTTTGATGAGCTTCGATTTAACATCCATATTGTATGTATAAAAAAATAATTTATATTTATCTTTATAACAATAATAAAATTATTTTTAACTTTAATTAGAAAAATAAAATTATTTATCAACTAATATATTTATATTTCAAGTAGTTATATGATATAAGTTATAAAAACTAATATAATATAACACATGTAAGTCATAAGTAACACATATCATTCTAAAATATATAGTAATATACTTTTTTTTTTTGTAAAAAAGTAAACTAAATTTCATATAGTTTTCTCATTATTTTAAAATTTAAGAATATTTTTTTAACAAGCACCCGTGTAATACACGGGTGTTGTACTAGTTCTTTCAATGTTATTGAATAACTTTTTCATTCAAAAACTGTGTGCAAATTGGATAAAACCACGTGTAACTTTTATTTTAAAACAAAACTGAGATTTGGACGGGATATACATTCAAAATCGTATCCACATTTTTTGGTAACAAAATCGGTTCATCTTTTGATATTTAAATTAAGAATCTTCCAATTATTTAAAAAACAATTCAAATCAATTTCAAAATTGTGTGCAACTTTTACAAGGAAATATCACGTGCGTCTTTTCAAAATTTGAATGCAACGATTTCTTTTAATCTTATACTTTTCTTAACCATATTGTACCGAGATTTTGGTATATCAACTTTGTTGTTAAGTTCCAATCAATAATTTTAGGAATGAAACAGTTGCATAAATCTTAACAAATTGTGTTAATTTTTTATTAGAATTAATTTTAATTTAATTTATTTAGTTAAAAACTCGGTGTAATGTTAGTAAAATTCGGTTGCATTTTTAGAGATAATTGATGATTCTTTTAACTTTGTTTTAACCAAATATTTGGATATTTATTTGGTAAAAAAATCTGCGTATTGGCAGAAAAATTCGGTTTCATTTTTTAGATAAAACTAGTGATTCATTTTAATTTTTCTTAATAAGAATTCTGAATTAGATTTAAAAAATAAATGGCGTGAAAATCTTTATTTTTTTTCCTATTAGATTTTTGTTTAATAAATAAGATATCTAAAATTTCTTTAGAAATGTAATTTGTTAACTAATAACTAATAACACACTATTGTAGATAAAATTCAAACACTCATGTATTACTTTACGTGCCAAAGAGTCAAATCAAGAATGTTGTACATAAGTAAGTATTGAACATTGTATAAATTTTATTTTCATGGTATTTTTAATAACATGAGACAATTTAATTCAAAAATACCTTTTAAAATGCCAAAGTCCGTCCTGAAAAATATTAGGCCCCAGGCCAAATGAATAAATGGTACCCATAATGTTTTTATTTAAAAAAAAAATATAAAAAAAATTATCATATTACGAAAAAAAAAACAATAATGAAAATTATAACAAAATTGTATAATTTTATTAAACAAAATGACAATAAGTAAAAGAATAAATCATGTTCAGTCCTTGTAAAAGAAAAAGACGAAAAAATATAAACAAGGTTTTAAACTCATTTCATATTAGCCATATGATTAATTTTATTGTAATCTCGAATAGCCAACTCTTTTGTTACAAAAATACTAAATAATATTATTTTTAATATATATATATATATATATATATATATATATAT